TTGTTTTCTCATGTTATGGTGTGATCCATAGTAAAAAACTGTAGTCTTTGATCTTCATGAGTAAGTGCTTCAAGTCTACTTAGTTTTCAGCAAACACGGGTGTCATTTGCATATCACAGGTTGTTCATGAGCCTTCCTCCTATCCTGATGCTGCCATGTTCTTCTTCAAATAGTCTAGCCTCTCAGATTACTTTTGGTCTTTTGGTTAGAGAATTTTTTCTGGACAGACACAGGGTAGGCCTAGCAGGAGCACACAATAGGAGCTTTACAAACCTGGCTATCATTTGCTGAGCCCCTTTAATGTGCCTTCAAGGAGTGTCCTTGCTCTCTGGGGCCGCTGAAGAGGAAGTGTCCCACCTGCTTCTTTGCAGGTTACAATTTCTCTGGCCATCAGCCAACCTTAACCACCTGAAGTTACTGCCTTTCTCTTCCTTATTGCCATGGACCAAAGTCCAGCAAGCAGCCTGGGTCACAGACTTCCCCTGCCTCTGCCCCACCTCTGGCATGAGGTTTGGAAGGAGCCTCAGGCCAGAACTTCAGTCCTTTGAGTTCACCCATTCACTGTGACACCCTGGCAGCTCACTGTGCTCCCTGAACCTCAATTTCCCTCCGTTGAATGGGAATAAAGATTGCCTTCCCCGCTTCCCAGATTCCTGAAATTTAAATGAGTTGAGAGATATGAAAGTACATTGAAACCAAGCCAGAGATATAAGTAGTAATTCTTCCTGGAACATTTAACAGCCAGGTGTGGCCCAGGACACCAAAACTGGAGCTTGGTCTCTGCAGAATATGCCCTCCCCATTGGGCTGCTCAGCTGGGAAAGTGGGTCCAGGCTTCTAGCTTTCAGGCTGCAACCCCTCTCTTTTAAAAAAGCTTCTCCCCCCACCCCCGCCAATTTTAAGAGCAGTACCTTCATGTCAATAAAAAACACTAGCATATTTTCTCTTATGTGTATGTGGACAGATAAGGGGCTATGAAGGCGTCATGGTTAGAGCTTTCAGCTGCTAACCAAAAGGTCAACAATTCAAACCAACCAACTGCTCTGAAGTGGAAAGATAAGGCAGTCTCCTTCTGTAAAGATTTATAGCCTTGGAAACCCTAAGAGGTAGTTTCCACCTTGTCCTATAGAGTCACTATTAGTCAAAATCAACTTGATGGCAATGAGCAGTGGGATGTGGGTAGGTAGGGAGCCCTGTGGTGCAGTGGTTAAGTATTCAGCTGCTAACTAAAAGGTCAGCACCAGCCGCACCGTGGGAGAATGGTCTGGCAGTCTGCTTCAGTAAAGATCCACACCCTTGGAAACCCTGTGGAGGCCGTGCTACTCTGTCCTATAGTTATTATGACTCAGAATTGATTTGATGGCAACGGGTTTGGTTTGGTTTTGCATGTAGATAGACAGATGTTGTTATTGTTGTTGTTGTTGTTATGTGCCGTCGAGTCAAACCCGACTCATAGCGACCCCTCCTTGGGTTTCCGAGGCGATATCACTACGGAAGTAGGATTGCCCAACCTTCCTTCCGAGGAGTGGCTGGTGGGTTTGAACCGCCAGCCGTCTGGTTAGCAGGCAAGTGTCTTAGCCACTATGCTACCAGAGCTGGGAGCATATCTGGGAGATAGACAGATAGTTGCTATCAAGTTGACTCCAACTCATATACAACAGAACAGGGTATTGCCCAGTCCTATGTCATCTTCACAGGAGCTTTGGTAGCATAGTGGCTAAGGCACCTGACTGCTAACCAGAAGGCTGGTGGTTCAAACCTACCAGCCACTCCTCGGAAGGAAGATGGGGCAATCGACTTCCTTAGTGATACTGCTCGGTAACCCAAGGAGGGGTCGCTATCAGTCGGGTCCGACTTGACGGCACATAACAACAACAACATGTCATCTTCACAGCTGCTGACGTATTCAAATTCATTCTTGTGGCTCCTGTGCCCATCCATCTCACTGAAGGTCCCCCTCTGCTTCACCAAACACAATGTCCTCTACTAGTAGTTGATCCCTCCTGCTGATGTGTCCAAAGCAAGCAAGCTGGAGAACACTCTGTTGTGATCCATATGATTTTCACAGACTAAGTTTTGGAGTAGATCCCTAGGCCTTTCTTCCTAGTCTGTCTTAATTTGGAAGCTCTCCTGAAACCTTTGGTTTCA